CGTCCATCCAATACATTCTTTGACTGCCGTCAACTATGGATCCATTGACTGTCTTTCCCAATGCATTATTTGACTACCCTCCCAATGCATTATTTGACTACCCTCCCAATGCATTTTTGACTACCCTCCCAATGCACTATTTGACTACCCTCCCAATGCATTATTTGACTGCAGCCCACCCAATGGATCTATTGACCGTTCTCCCAGTGCATTATTTGACTGCCGCCCACCCCATGGATCTATTGACCGTTCTCCCAGTGCATTATTTGACTGCCGCCCACCCCATGATCTATTGACCGTTCTCCCAGTGCATTGTTTGACTGCCGCCCACCCCATGGATCTATTGACCGTTCTCCCAGTGCATTGTTTGACTGCCGCCCACCCAATGGATCTATTGACCCTTCTCCCAGTGCATTATTTGACTGCCGCCCACCCCATGGATCTATTGACCGTTCTCCCAGTGCATTGTTTGACTGCCGCCCACCCCATGGATCTATTGACCGTTCTCCCAGTGCATTATTTGACTGCCGCCCACCCCATGGATCTATTGACCGTTCTATAGTGCATTATTTGACTGCCGCCCACCCCATGGATCTATTGACCGTTCTCCCAGTGCATTATTTGACTGCCGCCCACCCCATGGATCTATTGACCGTTCTCCCAGTGCATTATTTGACTGCCGCATATCCCATGGATCTATTGACCGTTCTCCCAGTGCATTGTTTGACTGCCGCCCATCCCATGATCCATTGACCGTTCTCCCAGTGCATTATTTGACTGCCGCCCACCCCATGAATCTATTGACCGTTCTCTAGTGCATTATTTGACTGCCGCATATCCCATGATCCATTGACCGTTCTCCCAGTGCATTATTTGACTGCCGCCCACCCCATGGATCTATTGACCGTTCTCCCAATGCATTATTTGACTGCCGCCCACCCCATGGATCTATTGACCGTTCTCCCAGTGCATTATTTGACTGCCGCATATCCCATGATCCATTGACCGTTCTCCCAATGCATTGTTTGACTGCCGCCCACCCCATGGATCTATTGACCGTTCTCTAGTGCATTATTTGACTGCCGCGCATCCCATGGATCTATTGACCGTTCTCCCAATGCATTATTTGACTGCCGCCCACCCCATGGATCTATTGACCGTTCTCCCAGTGCATTATTTGACTGCCGCATATCCCATGATCCATTGACCGTTCTCCCAATGCATTGTTTGACTGCCGCCCACCCCATGGATCTATTGACCGTTCTCTAGTGCATTATTTGACTGCCGCGCATCCCATGGATCTATTGACCGTTCTCCCAGTGCATTATTTGACTGCCGCATATCCCATGATCCATTGACCGTTCTCCCAATGCATTATTTGACTGCCGCCCACCCCATGGATCTATTGACCGTTCTCCCAGTGCATTATTTGACTGCCGCATATCCCATGATCCATTGACCGTTCTCCCAATGCATTATTTGACTGCCGCCCACCCCATGGATCTATTGACCGTTCTCTAGTGCATTATTTGACTGCCGCGCATCCCATGGATCTATTGACCGTTCTCCCAGTGCATTATTTGACTGCCGCCCACCCCATGGATCTATTGACCGTTCTCCCAGTGCATTTTTTTACTGCCGCGCATCCCATGGATCTATTGACCGTTCTCTCAGTGCATTATTTGACTGCCGCCCACCCCATGATCCACTGATCGTTCTTACCATGGATCCATTTACTGTTCTCACCATGGATCCATTGACCGTTCTACCAATGCATGCTTGGGCAAAGACATTAAAGACACCCTCTTCACTGTATTGCGAAACAAGCATATTGTTATGTGTTTTTCATGTACTTGTAAGGGGCAGCATATCTGCACGTGTACACAACAGACGTGTTGCGAAACTAAGATATCGTTTTTAGTTTCAACTAATCATTAAACCCGCTTTCTTGTCACTGTATTGACTGGTTCACTATCAGTTGACTGTCTGGTCAAGACTAGTTTGTTTACAAACCCTGTGTGTAGGCAACAAAAACACACTAATAACTTTAAGGCAGGACATGCTTACCCTTTTCTCGAACACCTGTTGTCAACACTAATTTTCAGTGATCTATTCATATAATTTTCTCCGCTATTTCTCCTTTACGCCTAGTGGAATCTGTTTCGACAGATAATCGAGACTGATTATTTTCTAGCGTTGATGTTTTATATTTTGACTACACTCCCAATGGATCGGTGTATAAGCTTTCCTCACAATGAAATCCTGGACTGCCCTGTCGATGCATTCTTTGACGCACGCACCCACACCCCTTCTGCCCTAATGCACTCTTTGCCTTGGTGAATTTCATTGACTGCTCCCCCAATGCATTCCTGCGATGTTTGGGAGTATAAATAGATGATTGATGTTTGTCATTGGTTTAGGATTGCATTATTGGGGGAATTTATCTGAATTCTAAAGGTGGACCATTGTATGATATTAAATTCATACGTTTCAACTTTTGACGTGTTTGAAGTATTATTCTGTTAAACTCAATTGGATTATGCCATGGATCGTGTAGGTGTAAGCCTATTTACACTCAACAGTATAATTCTAAAAAAATTATAAATGACAAGTAATAAATAAAATACTAAACTCGCTCTCGTGTAAAACCATTTTTATGAAACTCGTGAATAGTTGTGGTATCTGACTCGCTTTCGCTCGTCAGATACCAGAACTATTCACTCGTTTCATAAAATTGGTATTACACGGGAGCTCGTTTAGTATTCTATATTTATCATATAAAATATCTTAAGTAAGCGATATTATATCCAAACATGGGGGTGCCTACTTCTTGTGAGTTCAACGAGTTCAAAGCTATAGTCATGCATTGCGGCCATGGCGACAACAGACTTATGCACAGGAGCATTGTCCTGGTTGGTTGGTTGGTTTGTTGTTTAACGCCGCACTCAGCAATATTCCAGCTATATGACGGCGGTCTGTAAATAATCGAGTCTGGACCAGACAATCCAGTGATTGACTACCATGAGCATCGATCCACGCTATTGGGATCGATGACATGCATAAACCAAGTCAGCGAGCCTGACCACCCGATCCCGTTAGTCGCCTTTTACGACAAGCATAGTCACCCTTTACGGCAAGCATGGGTTGCTGAAGGCCTATTCTACCCCGGAATCTTCACGGGTCATTTGTCCTGGTGGAACAACACACATTAAATAGTGATTTTTCTCCGACGTTTAGTCTTCATATTCAAAGCAGATGCTCGGTTCATCGTCGTCCGTCAGTCATGATATTTTTAAATTTATTTACCTGTGAAGGCAGCTGAAAGTCTTCCTGATCTCGCGTCATCTTCGAGGACGTACTTTTGAACGGCACTGTCCGTCTCTTGGTAGAGGCTAAGTAAGGAGCATCACTCCCTGGTCGAGACTCGATTACTTTCAAACCGCCGTCATATAGCTGGAATATTGCTGAGTGCGGCGTAAAACAACAAACAAACAAAACAAACCATGAGTTCAGTGAGTATGTAGGTTATTGTTTATCTAGTTTCACTGATCACGAATATTGAATGGCATCATAAAGTGCAACAGCCAAACCGTTACTAGGTTTCTATACTTGAGAGTGAAATACATATAACTTCACAATGGAGGTGTTAGACAACCGTCGCATATAACCAGTCCACGTGTTGCTAAGGACAGGGTCACATTCACACCAAGCACCAAGCACCAAGACAGTGCCGTAGCCAGCCGGGGTCCACCCCCACCGCCCATCCCCCCACACACCCCTTATAGAAAACTGTTTTATTTGTATCAAGTTGGGGACAAGTGATACTTGTACAAATATTTGCCGCGTGGTCAGGCTCGCTGACTTCTTTGATGGATATCATCGTATTCCAAATATGTGGATCGATGCTCATGATATCAATCACTGGATTGTCTGGTCCAGACTCGATTATTTACAGACCGCCGTCAGCTGGAATATTGTTGAGTACGGCGTTAAACAACAAAGAAACAAACAAAACGTATGCATGATGAAAGTGTCGATATAAATAAACCACAGTATAGTGTAGATAAGGGACTGTACAACGAATATATGATTCATAAACAGGAATAATATGTTGAAGCAAATAACTAGCGTAGCCAAGCGAGACTAAACGTATGTAAAACTCCACGTTATGGAGCCAGCTCCATTTTGTTTACTTAATCTAGATTATGAACAAACATTTTGATTCGTCACCAAAACAAAGAGTTATTATCAGAGGAGCAACGCGAGTGCGGGGGTGGAATGTAGGTATGTGTCTACGCCACTGTGACACCGAGGACAGATAGCAAGGACCTTGAATGGCGTTATCTGACCGGAGACAATGTGTATGTGACGAGGAGCAGCTACCACTCCTGGTTACCACGGACAGGTGAGACAGGACAAGTGTCAGGTGTACATTTACCTACTCGTGAATTGTTGAATAAAGTCACCTTCGAATTATGATAATGAGTATTGAATATTAACATGAGAATTGATATATCTTTAGACTTAAGATTGGTTTATGGAGGCACAGAAAATAGACTCAGATGAAGTCTCTTATAACCTATATTTTTGGCTACATCAAAATTTAATGTTTCAAGGTCGTTGCACAGACGATGGGTTGAGAATTGGGGGTTGGGTTAATTTGTGTGTTGTGGCTTGAGTCTAAAGGTTAGCGTTCAGATTGAGTATTGAGTTTGGGACTGAGGTTGTAAGTGTTGTGGGTGGGTGTAAAGGGAAACTAAACTTGGGCTTCTACCCGACTATCTAACACCGGGGGTAAATGTTGAGGGTGGGGCTGAGGGCGAATGTGGAGGGTGGATGTTAAGGGTGGGGCTGGGCTGAGTTTTGAGGGTGGTGACTGAATGTTAGTGTTGACAGTGGGGCTGAGGGGGAGTGTTTAGGTGTGACTGTGTGGCCGTGTTTATGAGGGTGGATACTGTTGGGTGTTGAGGGTTGGCTGAGGGTGAGCGTTGTGATCGGGATTAAGGGTGAGTGTTGAGGGCGGTACTGGGGGTAAGTGTTGGGGTAGGGATTGAAGGTGAGCTGAGGGTGAGTGTTGGATCGGGATTAGGCTGAGCGTTGAGTGTGAGTGTTTGAGGGTGAGCGTTGTTGATGAGCGTTGAGAGTGAGCTGAGGGCTGGGTTGAGGTTAAGCGTTGAGGGCTGGGTTGAGGGTGAACGTTGCCGGCTGGGTTGAGGGTTAGCGTTGAGGGCTGGGTTGAGGTTGAACGTTGAGGGTTGAGTTGAGGTTGAACGTTGCGGACTGGGTTGAGGGTTAGCGTTGAGGGCTGGGTTGAGGGTGAACGTTGAGGGCTGGGTTGAGGGTGAACGTTGAGGGCTGGGTTGAGGGTTAGCGTTGAGGGCTGGGTTGAGGTTGAACGTTGAGGGTTGAGTTGAGGTTGAACGTTGAGGGCTGGGTTGAGGGTTAGCGTTGAGGGCTGGGTTGAGGGTGAACGTTGAGGGCTGGGTTGAGGGTGAACGTTGAGGGCTGGGTTGAGGGTTAGCGTTGAGGGTTGGGTTGAGGGTGTTGACAGAGAACCTGAAGGTCAGTACCGACAGCTCATATTTCCACTCTTAATTGCAATGCACTAAGGTGACCTCCGTGGGTGGGTTGTGGTTTGTTTCTTGAATATAAATCTCTTGTAGTTTAAACTAAGTTATGACTGTCTGTCTTACTTAGTAGGTAATATAGTAGGAGTAGCCGGTAAGTACAGGGATATAAATCAAGATGTACTCTAGAATTCCGAACTCCAACAATTTACAACTCCTTTGAAGTAACTATGTCAACACACTACACTTGTGACGCTATTTGTATTATGAGGCTTTAAGTTTTTTTAATTTCACTACGGTACTATAAATGTTAAACATTATAGACGTTTGTGTGTGTGCGTGCGTGCGTGCGTGCAAGTGTGTGTGTGTGTGTGTGTGTGAGCGAGCACGCGTTCGAAGCCTGTATTTCACCCTGATCTTGCAACTAAGAATGTACTGACTGTGCCCGTCTCGCCGAGGTATCAGTCAAGAGTCTTGTTCACATTTTTTATAAATCATATGACATCGTCGATAACAATATGAACCAACACAAAGTCGAGCGTCTGACTCCATAGAATTCAGAGTACCAATCGCCAATGATCTTCATCCATTAACGACTATTACGAACCGATGCATAAAGTCGGTTATCAAACGTATCACACGCAATAGTCAAGCATTATTTCGTCGTTTATCGAGGCCCACTTAGACCCTATGTTCACAGCGACTTTCAGTAATTCAATAGCCAGTGTTATAAACTGGCCTGCCCGTCAAGCCAGTCGGCCTCAACACAATAATCACGACTCTATACATGGCATTATTTCTCTAACAAACGAAATCGATGTGAATATTACGAAACGCTACAACGAATATTTGTTGACAGCGATCTAATTCGAAACAACAAAACAATCGTGCTCCGTGAATTGATTTATCGATTACTGACGTGTTGTTCCGAATTTAGCAACGGTCTTCCCCACGTTTCCTGCCATGATACACGTCATTTCTAACTTTGCTGCCCGTCCGACTGGTACAGCTGGGATTTCATCACAAAGAGACATCTAGAATTCATTTCAGGAAGGGCAAGGTCGCTTACCTCATGAATATTCATGACTAAGCGGGCTGCTTATGTGATGCGGATATGCCATTGGTTGTTGTCTGGTTAATAAATATGCAAGTAGGGTCAGAGTTGAAGAGGTTATAGTGACGCAAGCCCACTGAATATATATACCGGCAAGTAGACCAGCTGATTTCATAGTCAGTTTAAGTTTCCTCGTTGATCGGACGGATATTTACCCTGACAGTTCACTCTAAACAACACTGGATTTTATTCTGTTTGATCTCTGTATTTAAAAGCTTCATTTCAAGATGGTTCGCGTCGTGTGTCAGAATTTCCAGCGGCCTAGAAGCCGGCATACCTCGGGCGAGTCGCCGTATTCCCTTGATTCGGACTTGGCACGGAGAGCGGCTGAGGCCTTGACCACAATGACTGCAGCGGAGGGACGCAAGTTTGATTCTGATACAGAAACATCTAGCGATGCTTGTTGGGAATCGGATGGAGGTACATGTTGGGATGTTGGCACTAGCGACAGCGGAGCGGAGCCCGCGAGAGACAAGGTAGGTTAGCTTGACCTAATTCACCGAGTTTCAGCTGACGATCAGCTGTGAGAGCCAGCACGTAGAAACTGCACTCCCGTCGAGATAAAGCTGTTTACATGATAACAAGTGTTGATAGCTTTAATTTGTTGTCAGTGTAGTTACTTATTGATTACTCAGCATCACGGGACGATGCGATTGTGCAATTATAGATCCAAGTCATGCTAAATGGAATTGCGCAAAAAGTCTTCTGTCAGCAGTTACGCTCAGCTGATCTGTCGTCGACCCCGTTCACCTACTGCGCAGGATATATTGAAAAGGGAGGTAACTCGCTGATCAATATTTGCGTGATATCGGCTCACGATGTATTGATGGATTTGGTTGTGTTATAGGAGGCCATGCTGAAGAAGCGCAAGGCAAGGCGGAGGGAAAGAAATAAGGTTTCAGCACAGGCGTACCGTCAGCGGAGGAAAGAACAGACGCTCTCTCAGCAAAAGGTAAGATATATGACGCTCAAACTACAGTTCTTCGTTTTCACATTGGGTATTTGAAAGAAGGCATCGGGTTAAGTAAATTCGAAATTCAAATAAAGCCGTGTCCATAACTGGGTTTAGGTTGTGTATTTATTTAGTACAATGTTATATTCATGCATTAGAGTCGCAAATAAATTTTAAATTTGAATTTCGCTTTAGAATTGTATTTGTTTTATGATTTTATAGTATAAAAATTAGTGGCGGATGTAAATCCGGGATCCGCCTCTGAAATTTAATTTACGGTGGAATGTAATATAAATCAAGCGTGATGTTGCAATCATGCTATTTGTAGTAACTTCGTGATCTAAAAGACGTCAGGTTACCACCATGTGTGGGTGGGCGGGAATGGGGCGGGGAGTTTTGTCCGTGACAAATTATTTTGAGTTTCATTAGATATTTGACAGTGAAATATCGCAAAACAACCCTTCTGAGAAATTCCTTGGGTAAAAATCTATGATTCATATCCATGTGCAATATCTGGGTTAGTGTAGGATGGGTTTGTGTTTTGTTTTGCATCTATTAAATCATTGCCAGGGCCCCGTTCCACAAAGCTATCTTAGCCCTACGACTACCGTAGTCCTGTGTTAAAGTATGGGAATTACGATCATCTTAGCGCTAAGATCGCTTTATGGAACAGGGCCCAGGAAAGTCAGTTCTTGTACTGTAGTTAGATTCCATCGGAAGCTTTTTTGTTAAATGGTTAAAGAAAGCAAAACAATTTAAACAGTTTGGTAGAAAAATATTTTTTTAAAGGAATCTCCATTTTAAAAAAAACCGGTCCGCGGCTTGCTTGTCTAGTTTTGTTAGTGTATTTATTAGCTTCTTTATAACTCAAATACAATTATGCAAAGCGGGTGTGAAAACGTAATGATATTTTTATGACCTAAAGTATCAAATGTATATTGTATACCATCTATGAATTAAGCAGAGAACGTCATCAAAATTATATCTTGTAATATGCTGAAGAATGCCACGACTTGGTGTATATAATTGTAACTCCGCTTGTTTGCAAGGATTATTTATTGGTGTAATGTAAACTAAGAATGCTTAACATTCAAGCCACAGATAAGCCAGGTATTTTTATAGCGAAGCCGACACCCACTTGTAATTAGATAAAATAAGAGAGGTTTGTTACGAACTGGAATGCGCTTTTAGAGTCTCAATTCAAACGAATGTATATTTTGTGACGTGTTCTATTACATCAGTGGGACAAAGTCTAGCTTGATCAATTATGTAGTCATCACATTGGTATTTATAGTGTTTGACAAATGTTCTTGTACTAATCATGTGACTCTCAAGCAGGACATTGATTAGAAAATAGAACTGAGTACATTTGCCGAAAGCGAAACTAACACTACTTCCGCATTGTCGTTGTGGTCACGTGACTGCTGAGCAAACATCAGGTGCTTTGTAAATAGCAAGCCTTATTGTCATTATTGATACAAAAAATATTGTTATCATTTGCATGTTTTATTCCTGTATGTATGGCGATGAGCTTATCCATTCACGAAAATGTAACCCCTTATCCAACCCACGGTGTAGATTCGATCCCGTGTTTGCGAGCAATTCCTGAAACAGCAATGATTATTACGCTTTGAACAATGCTGACACCGGTTATCTCCCCTTGCAGATTCTGACACAGCTGGAGGACCACCAGAGGGAACTGCTTGAGCAGGTCGAGAAACTGCAGAAGGAAAAGATGCAGGTTGAGACCTTTCTCCGCAGCTGTTTCAAACGACAGGACACAACCCCACAGACGTCGTCCCCCAAGGACGCCATTGCTCATCATTTCCATAATAATCATCGACATCATGAGAATCTTTGTCATTCTTGTAACATTCCCGCAATCATGAGCGTATCGTGAAGAGGTGGCATCGCCGGTGTAGGGAGTTCAAAGCGGATCCCGGCAGGGACGGATTGAAACCAGGGTACCACGGAAACCTGGAGTCTCGCTGAGTGTCTTGGAGAGGGATCCGAAAGGACGTGACGAGTTCGACCACTTGGGTGATCGAATCTTTCTTTATGAGATTTGTGTTTATTGACATTGAATCCCATTTTGAGACAGTCTCTTATATCTCGTCATATATCTCGCGTACCATCATCTCAATCATATCAAGGAGACCCGTAAGTGGACAGAGACTAATGATGGGGCCCCGAATGGGGGTCGGCGCGGGTACTGGGCAAACCACAGAACGGAATCGCCTTGTTTACTCATTATCTTTCATGTCAGTGTAGTTACTACATAACCCTACCTCTATCGACCTATAGCTGAACATTGCTGTCGTCGTTCTTGATCATGTTCAATCTCCATATTGTGTGTCATTCAGTTCGTATTTGGACAATCTGGTCAGTGTCTGATAGTTAATAATATCTATCTGCAGTTCCAATGTTAGTGACGTCATGGTATTGTCTTACATTGTGTGTGAAACTGACTTCCTCGGTCGGTCCTCGCGATCTGCCAACAGTTATCTCCCTTCTAAGCGTGAGGTCACGTGACACTGACGTCACCAATTTTAAAGATTGCATCAGTCAAAGTCGGTCACCTATGGCAACAGGAGGCTCTGTTCAGAAGATCTTGCGTCAGAAAGAGGTTATTGTGTCAAAGCCAGCTTCCGAGATTAACAATACTCTTACAATTTACCTCTAGGAATAACGGTAATCAAACAACCTCAGCATTGTAGTGTCATCTCACCATTTTTCTGGCTTTTTCCAAAATTTACTCGCAATGGATTTGTTGTACATTCATTTCAGTTTGTACTTCTCATTTTCCTTACCATAAATCTAGAAGTTGTAGAGGTGCTAGAATATAGTCGAGAAAGGCTGCACATGCAGGCCTTTTGGGGTTTGATTGTATGCAGATAAAAGCACTAATGTTCTCACGATTGGTTGTAAATGCATAGTCTATTTTTATTCAGGGAAAACCCTGTCGATGCGTGTAACGATCACAAAATGGCATTTTCAAATTGTTAAAATTTGAATAAAATGTCCACTACCAGGGCAGTAAAACGTCATGTACGAAACAATGCGTGCGGTTTACTTTGACTGGGTTTCTGACATCTGTGCGCTCTTCTCTCGATGAATGAACACATGATGGCACAGTAGTGTTCATATACGTTACCATGGAAACAGCCAGATTGGCAAAGTGACATATATTCGTTATTGTATGTATACGTCTTTGAATATTCAAATTGCATAAGTCTTTCATATTTTTGTACAATAAAACTGTGTTTATTGCACTAAGGTTTAACCTGGTCTCGTATGTTGTCCTTTTGAATACAATGTGGTATAGGTGATGTGTTGAGTGTGTGAGTGTGTAGGTTTAGCGCTGCTTTAGGCAGTATTTCATTTACATCCTGGCACTTCATCTTCACGTGGGAGGAAAGCTCGAAGCAGTGCATGTTCGAAACGTGAGTAAACTAACAACGTGGCGATCTAGGATCATACTTGGATTCGAACATAAATCAGCGGATTCTTTCGTGACTGATCAATAATCTGAAAATAATCTGCAGTAATTAGTGTGGTATGTGCTGACAGATGGTTTGATTGTCATTCTGTCCCACATGTTGTAGTGGGGCACTCAGTGGTTACAAGTACACGTCTTATAGTGGGGCAATGGGTGGTTTCAGGGACACGTCTTATAGTGGGGCACTTGATGGTTACACACACACACACGTCTTATAGTGGGCACTCAGTGGTTACAAGCACACGTCTTATAGTGAGGCATTCGGTGGTTTCAAGCACTCGTATAGTCGGACACTCGGTGGTTTGAGGGACAGTCTCGTTGTGGGGCACTCGGTGGTTACAGGGTCACGTTTTATAGTGGGGCACTCGGTGGTTACAGGGTCACGTTTTATAGTGGGGCACTCGGTGGTTACAGGGTCACGTTTTATAGTGGGGCACTCGGTGGTTACAGGGTCACGTTTTATAGTGGGGCACTCGGTGGTTACAGGGTCACGTTTTATAGTGGGGCACTCGGTGGTTACAGGGTCACGTTTTATAGTGGGGCACTCGGTGGTTACAGGGTCACGTTTTATAGTGGGGCACTCGGTGGTTACATGGTCACGTTTTATAGTGGGGCACTCGGTTGTTACAGGGTCACGTCTCGTTGTGGGGCACTCGGTGGTTACAGGGTCACGTTTTATAGTGGGGCACTCGATGGTTACAGGGTCACGTTTTATAGTGGCGCACTCGGTTGTTACAGGGTCACGTTTTAGAGTGGGGCACTCGGTGGTTTGAGGGACACGTCTCGTTGTGGGGCACTCGGTGGTTACAGGGTCACGTTTTATAGTGGGGCACTCGGTGGTTACAATAGAACGGCCTGTAAAAGTTATTGAGTCCGGGCCATGCAAACCCGTGGTTGATAGCATGAGCAACGACCCAGGCCACATGATGACACACAATCAGTCTGGTCACAAGTTTAGCACCGTATCATAGCTTTAGGGATCTCGTACAACACTCATGGGGTACAGGGAGCCTATTCTGAAACAATTCGTACCAATGGGGATAAGTATTTAAGTTCGAGCTAACATCACGTATTCCTTCTTGAGATATAGTTATGGACAAGCCTACTAAACTTACTCGAGATATCTTAATCTGTGTAACTCGGTCACCCGACCATGCTGTACACTACCTAAGTTCACAGGCCGCCTATGTAGACACACACACGCAGGTAGACAGTTCATCGCTCGCACGCACGCACGCACGCACGCACGCACGTACGTACGCACGCACGCACACGCACACACACACACACAGTGAGGGAGAGAGAGACATGCACACATTTCACAAAAATTCAAATGAAGCCAAGAACAACCATTAATTCGGCTGATGCAATCAAGACTTGCCAAATCATTCTAGACTTGAGTTGGACTCCTTTTATTATATATGCCCTAGGGTCTAGGAGACAGACTGACGCAAATATATATATTCGTCGATGCTATAAAATAGCTGGCGATATAGTTGTATCAGTGATGGCCGGAACCTGAATGTGCACGATCTTCACTATTCCGTCGATATCACGATGGCTTGTACACCATCAGGTCTGGCCCGGGCAAACAAGTCACAACGATTCACGGCACCAGTCAATTCAACATGCCTGAGTGAGCGAGTAGGCTTTTACGCAGCTTTTATCAATGTTCCAGCAATATCACAGCGGGGGACACCAGAAATGGGCTTCACAGATTGCACACCAGTGGGGAATCGAACCCGGGCCTTCGACGTGACGAGCGAACGCTTTAACCACTGGGCTACCCTACCGCACCTCAACAGGCCTGACCACCCGTTCGGTTTAAGTCGACTGTCACGAGAAGCTTTTGTACATGAGCAGTATAGTGAGTGAGTGAGTGAGTGAGTGAGTGTGGTTTTACGCCGCTTTTATCAATATTCCAGCACTATCTCGGCGGGGGACACCAGAAATGGGCTTCACACATTGTACCCGTGTGGGGAATCGTACCCGGGCCTTCGACGTGACGAGCGAACGCTTTAACCACAAGGCTACCCGACCGCCCCCCAGAGCAGTGTATTGTTGATTGACTGAATTTGTTTTAACGCCGCCAATATTTCAGTTTTATCACAGGGATGAAAGTTACCACTGTGAAGAAACCAATAAGCATGGGTATGGTGCCGACAACCCTAGAAACATTATAATCATGTTGAACAGGGATTCGAACCGACGATCCTATATTTTCTGGCGCGTTAATAGTAGTGTAGGGGATAGTAAACAGAACCTACAGCATGATATAAATATAAATTGAAAAACATACGGTCTGGCATGGTAGTAGGTGTTTTCTTGTTTACATTTAATATTTTTAAAAAGTCCATTTTTGTTGATGTTTTTGACATTTTGTTTTTATAATTTGCATCCTGCCTCGTGACAGTTTGTCCAAAACAATCTGTAAAAAATACACTTTTTCATATCTCATTGCTATTTTTCATCAGACCTAACCAGACTTAATCAGTTCAGAAGTGTTGGGGAACAGAGGACAATAGTAACGTCTGTTCTCTCCGTCGGTCAGTCTATACATACGTTGTGCGGTGTAATGCTATACACACAGACAAGTGATGCTATTGTTACACACACGTGGCCTAGAGGAGGCGGACTTGTCACGGCGTCTTACAGAGAGATTTGAAATGCATCGTCAATCACCGTTGCAAAATATTTATTTGTCAATTAAGGTATATACCTTAATGGCTATACACTTGAACCAATACATGCATATAAGCGTATATATACACCAATATCTGAACATTGTTAGAAAGTAAGCATTTTTTGTAATTTCACACTGACAAGAATATATTCGTTTTATTTGTATGTAGACGATATTGTATAGTGAGTATGGATATGTTAGGATTGTGAACACGCCAGAAATATTTATAGGACCCCCTCCTTACGTATTTTACCTTCAAATAGAATACTTATATACAAGACATCATATTTCATCACTCTTCATAATGGTTATATTGTTATTTTGTGTTCCGAATGTATAAACAAAACCGTTTTATTGTTTTCCACAAAAAAAAATGTATTGAGGACGAATACAAATAAGGTGATGTCCAACATTTGAAAAGTCATAAACTTACATCAAGAGATAAAAACTTGGATTTCTCCAACTGAACGTTATAGGAAGACACAATAACCTAATAGGGCAATGAGTGATTGTTCATATCTTGATTTACTCTTCCATTATTGGCGCCGTGTCACATGAACTCCGCTGGCTGATGCAAGCTTGCATCATGTGTCAGGAAAATGAGGCACCTTGAACAACCTTGACTTGTGACACAAACGACGACGCTCAAATCGAATGTACGAATCGGGGAAATATTAGAAGCTGACGTGTCCTTTGACGACTCTTTGCATGATGAAACAGTTTTATACAACAGTCATCCCCTTTAGACACAACATCTGCATGTGTCGTAATATCTGCATACGCATGAGTGTATGGTTGCATTTCAAATGTTCTGGAAATTAATAGAATGTATGTTGGACATTCACTGACGCAATGATGGAAGCAAATAGAACGTTTGGGAAGAAGGGTAAGGGAGGTAACTCTTGGGGAAAGTCGGTGTTGCATGGTCTTACGAAATATCTCAAGCGTAAAAGGGAAGGCGTATTTTGTTGTAGCGAGGTGAGATATATACATAACTGTTTTGGATTGCTTACCTGTCAGTTTGACTTGTAATACTAACAACAGAATCGTTAGATATATTTCTGATCGTGAATACAGTGAAAATAGGTTGTCATCACCCGAGGCAGGACCGTCCAGCCATCACCGTTTAGCACACTAATGCCTCCGTGTATTTGTGAAAAAACATCGCCTTTGCAGAAATACACATTCACACGGATGAATTGTTTGATAGGCATAACTTAGAAGTTGACGGATGAGAAAGTAGACACAAGGTATGATAACAACTTCTTTAATACTGTAAAGGCGACGTTTCGATATACATGTAGATCGTTATACCGTTGTCAAGCAACACAGTTGTGTCTACTTTGACACATTCACACGTTAATATTTACTGACTGTAATATTTTACAGGTTAATTCCGACTTAATAGTTAGTATTTAGCGAAATGTTTCATGTTACATATATATTTTTACTTGGATTCAGTGGTTTCAATGGTAGAAGTAAATGACTCATGTTTGAAATATATCTTTTGATGCCAAACACACCCTCTCAAATAAAATTCCAAAGCAAATTATATGAATTGGTTACATGTTTCTAACTCACTCACTCACTCAAAATCAGAATGAAGGCCTCTCAGCCCATTCTCAATACAAATATATTTATGTGATAAATAATAATACATTATCGTAAATGCCATTACAAATGTGTATCAACAAAATACTTGGCAGTTACCTGTCGCGAGTGATTACCTTACATAATGTTTAAATTTATAGATACATTTACAAGTTCAAGTGGCTCAAAGTGATATGCTGTGTTTGAAACCGCAGTTATAACTATGAAACAAATTCTTCCTCAGTATATACATTCAAAAACGTTTATCTATCCAATTCTTCCTTTGGATAAAACTGACATATAAAAAAGCTTCTATAGCCAAGCTTCCGTTTCACTGTCACACGTGTTCTATACAGCATTGATACAAAAGTAAATGTTAGATTGCTATAGATATTTCTCTCTGTAACTGTTATACATTGGACAAACAAACAAATGACAGTAACGAGAAAGTTGCTCTTATCTTGGAATATATTCCCACCTGCCTGTCTCTGTGTGTAAGTTATGACTTCCA